GGATGGTCTGGCCAATAATGACAATTTTCTCGATAGCTCAGTCATTTCTTGACGGATCCTTCTCATCTTCGAACTCGACTGAGATATTGATGAGATCATTTTGTGTACAAAATTTCATGACAATTGGTTCAGCCTTTCAGGAGCTATCGTGTAAACGGCCGGACACACTGACCGATTCTAGTGTACTCACTTTTTTTTGGGTACACAAAAATGAGAAGTTCTCTTTTCATTGTGTACATCGATAGCTTTATAAAAAAATATTTCAGCCAAGATGACAATCCTCTTTGGAATAAAAGAATTTTTAATTCAAGTCTCAAATCATTAATCTTTCGAATTAACATACGCAATATTCTTTGCCATTGCACTATCATTTATCAAGATACAACATATATGTCAAACTTGAAACTTGAATTCAATTGAAATTTTCAACTTTCAACTTTCAAACCAATACCGTTCTGATGAATCGTGTCTGGCACATATTATCCCCATGTAATGGAAACCGGTAAAGACCCGGCTCCCGTTACCGCGGTAAGCCGGGGCAAATCGCAGTAAATCGGCGATTTTGTTTGATAAACCGAAGTAAATTGACATTTTTTTTCAATCAATCCCATTTGATTCTAATACAGTCGCTGTTTAGTTTCTTTTTCAATAATAATTTACAGTTAAATTATACAATTATTACTTCAATTATTTTTATTTCGAAGCAAAGAAATTTATATTGGAATCCGATAGCTTCCAGTGTTGGAACGGAATCCAACATAAGCATTCGACCCATGTGTTCTGTCGGCACCATATACTTATTCATTGGGGATTAAGAAAAACAATTTTCCGTCCGACCCGTTAGTAGGTCCGTAACCAGGAATCTGATCGGATTTTGGCGGCTTGTCGGGTCATATGAGATCCGATAGGATTCACTGTCGGATTCATTCACCTAAGTAAAAATAAACACCCAGGTCGAGCAATCATATTGTAAGATCTGATCTTATATGAGCTTGCACGATCATACGAAAATCTGACAAAAAATCGTAGTTCCTGAGATCTGAGATCAATTCACACAATCAGATTCTTGAAAGGTCGTATTAATGTGTAAGATCTTTCAAGAATCTGATTGTGCGAATTGATCTCAGATCTCAGGAACTACGATTTTTTGTTAGATTCTTGTAAGATTTCGCCCGTATTCCAAGATTTTGTATGTGCTTCATAAGATCTTGTGTCAGATTTTTCGATCTGAGAAACCAAAGCGATGAGGAAATTTGTTCTGATCAACATACTGATTGTCCTAGAAATGAACAAGAGAAATCCATATTTGAGTAGATTTCGTTGGGATTTTCAAGCTCGTTTTATAACTTTTAAAAATCTTCTTAAAACTTCGAAGTCAAACATTTATTATGGGATATACTATGCGTAACAATGAAGAAACACTAATAACCTGTGGATACGTATAGAATAACGTAAGGTACGGGCAATTCAAAATTACAGTATCTCTACTTTTTTGCTTAAACATGCATCACTAGATTCCTATTTTTACGCTGATCACGAATATCTACTTAGCTTTTCGATTTAGCAAAACACTCATGGAGAAAAACGCAAGATACTAATAGGGTCTAAAAATCAGCGAAAAAATTGTTTTACAACAAACAACGTGCATTTCTATAATGCTAAACTTCTCACTCTCGCCAACATGATCTTCGAATTCCTCATGGAAAAACTAGTCCAGTAGCAATATATATAGATTTTTAGACCCTATTAGTATCTTGCGTTTTTCTTCATGAGTGTTTTGCTAAATCGAAAAGCTAAGTAGATATTCGTGATCAGCGTAAAAATAGGAATCTAGTGATGCATGTTTAAGCAAAAAAGTAGAGATACTGTAATTTTGAATTACCTGCACCTTAAGTAATTGTAATGTTAATGAAAAGTTTCATTTATCAGATTTCTTCACTTTTTTGTGTTTCCGCATAAAAAATATCAATATCTTGGGCTCATCCATATGTATTATAATAAATAATTATTTAAGTCACGCTATATAGATTATATCGAGTAACTTGAATACTGATTCTTTTGTATTACACTCGTGTATTATATAGCTAAAACCGTTTTGTTCTAAATTAAGAATTATTGCCTTAGAGAAAAATATCATAGCTATTTATTATAAGTAGCGAGGCTAGTTGTATTGTAAGCAATTAAATTAAAATACGATTTAAAACACTTACTTAACAATACAATAAAGCCGGGCATCCTTTAGATCATCAACTTTTCTGTATATTTTTCTTGCTTTGATTGTATTCAAATTGATGTCCTTGCCATCTTAACAACTTATTCACTTTAAAAATCTAATCGAAATCTTGCGGATCATCCATTTCATTAGATTGCGATTGTGAGTATCTTTCTGTGGATCAGCCACTCGTGATTCTTCATTTTTTTAAGATTCACTAAGTTTCCTGCAATCAATCACTAACAGGCTTGGATTAAAAAGATTTCGAAAGTAAATTAAACATTTTAATTTAGCATTTTCCATTCAGTCATTCTTTCTCTTATCGTTTGATACTCGCAATGATATTTTTTAATTATGTGTATATTTCTTAATTTATATCGATTGAATTTTTCTGTGAAATCTTTTATTTGTTTCTCTATTGAGAAATGCAAAAAAACATATTCTACATTAATATTAAATTCAATCAACGTTATTCGTTCTTATTTAGGAACGTACTGCTATGATCGGTTTTTAAAAATTTCTCAGAAATATTTTGGGTAGGGCAAGGTAGCGTTGCTAATCCATCTCTGCGCACCGTCGGTTTTATATGTTCTTAGCCGGCTCATACTTATATCGCTATTCACATTTTTTTTCATTGTTTTTCATAATAAATCTGATTTTTAATATATACACTTCAGATGTATATTAAATGTTCATATTTATTATTGAGAAAACATTTGGGTTCACAGCTTCATAGAGTCTTTACTTTTTAATCGATAAGATTGTCCTTAGTGTCAAAAAAATCTACCCAGTTATCCCACACATCTCTATAACGGCAACATTCTCTTTTTTAACTTTCAAATTTTATTTACATAAGAAAAACTTCGCACTTCTAATATTTCTTAAATTACTTTGATCCACCTAGCAATTATCTATTTCAGAAATGTTATCCGCCGCAATGAGTATTTTTTTAAATGCATAAATTTGCCCTTGGTGTTGAGTTTCAATTTTATTTATTAAATATCAATTACAGGTAAGGTTTATAATATTCTTTCCCTTGAAAAAATTCCAGTGGAAAAGTCGTATGTGATTCAAATTTTCTGACGACCAGCTACAGATTTAGTTCTTAACAACCTCTATTAAGTTTTAATTTAAATCACATCAATACAAAGTAATTTACATACTACGCTACAGGATATGGTGTATGATCTTTCATTCCTGTACCATTCGTTTCTCGTGTCTTCAAGTTTGTTCTACAAAATCTAGGTCAATACTTCACAGATTTGATACCAATTAATATATGTCATGTTAAGTATTCTTTCGACACTATTTGTATCATTGTTACAAATGTATATGGTTGATCCACAAAAACCATCGATTCGAGCGCTTGCAACATTAAAAACATTCCTTGTTTGATTATCTAAATTTTTCTTGTTATTTCATTTATCAAAGTTTTATTAGCATTTCAAGTAAGCAAATAAAGTAATCATATAAAAATTTCGCTCATATCGAATTCGATTTGGTCATCAACATCATTGATAAAGCATTTATTTTGAACAAAACCGTGCTGCACTTCAATTACATATAGATTATTGTTCTTCTTCTTAAAATGAAACGTATCATCAAATTTTTACGAATGTATATTTTTAAATATACTTTTATAGATCATCAATTAAAACTATCCGAGAACTGTGTAGAAATAGTTTATTTATAATTTCCAAATTGAACTTTTTTTCACTCAAAAACTTAGATCTTAATGAAAATTGTAAGAAATAGTTGCCATTTGTTAGATCGCATAAAATAGTTTTAAAAGTTTTTTTACTTGGGCAATTAATTTGAACAAAAGCTATCATCAATTTTTAGATAATAATATTTGTTTCTTTTGGCCGAAAAGTTTGAATCTCGCATAATTTCTCTATTTGAATCATCTAGAAAAAAAGAAGAATTATCACAACTAATTTCATTGTACTCAGGATAAACATGAATTTTATTATTTTTTTTTATAGAAAGCAACACCCGCTCATTACTTATATATATATATATATAATCCAAAGTTACCAATATTATTCATCAATAGCAGATTCGCTTTCTTATTTTATCGTAAGCAAAGATGTTTAACAGCATTAATTAAATAACACAACTTTCATTCTATACATGTAGTATCATCTAAAGTTATGTTGTTCATTCATCTGTTTAATCTAGAAGTATAAAAAAAAACAATGTTAAAAACATTATAATTTAGGTTATGAAATTGTTTTCGAGTTAAGTTTTAAATTTGAATATCACTCTTTTGAATCAGCTCTTTTACGCAATGATATGTTTAATTTTATTTTTTAACTACGTATATTATATATTCGTATACTTCTGTTTAGTTTCTTTCATATTAGGAATTCATCTTTCCTTTTTTTAATGATTTATCAATTTTCTACTCATGGTAGACACACACTTCTAGTAACGTAGTTAAAACTATTGTCTAGCTGATAATTATCATCACTAAAGATTTCAATTGATACATAGCCAAATTTTGTTTACATTTCATTGTTCTGGTTCGATTAGACATGATTTCAGTTTATAATCTTCTGTACAGTGGATCAACTGGTGATATTTCTAATCGAATACAGGAACACTATGATGTATTATCAAGTATAAAGTTCTGTAAAAGTTAGCTTTACAACAAATGATTTTAAAAAAATGTCTATGCTTTCCATAGAACATTAGTAAATTCAGGAAAAAAGACATGCATAATATTCTTGTGAGGTGCTAGATACATTGAGTATTCCGAGTAAATATTTTATAAGTTGTCAGAAAAATCTAAGATTCAATAATATCATAGATAGAATGTTTTGGAGAATCTTTAAGTACGCATTCGTGATCTACCCATAGTGCAGTAGATTTATGTGTGTCTTACTATTAAATTAAAATGGATCTATGATGAAAAACATAAAAATACAAACAGATTAAACTGCAAATAATTTGATTTCAGCGAGATTTTTTTATAATATATCCTGTTCCAATTTTATAATCGACTTTCAGTAACTATACGAGAATATTCTCTGATTAGTGAGAAATATTTCAAATCATGTAACGTGTACCATTCATTAGTGGTTGGTACAGTTTATTAAAAAAATTGATCATGACCACATTGTCTGAGAACCTTGTTAATTACGAAAAAGTCTTCAAAAATAAAGCAGAAATAAGTCTATCTACCAAAAATAACCCTGTATGAATAAATTTTATATGAATGAAAATCACGCATAGTTTTAATGATTGGCATCATATAAAACATGAAGAAGGCGTTCTTTTTTCAAGTTATACACCCTAACTTGTGTCACCAATCAGTGCATACTTCCTCACTGTTCTTTGAAACAAGAAATAAGCATCGTTGATAGTAATCAATTTTTAATAATAGTTGTTATTTTCAGCATCGATGGATTGAATACATTTATTTCAGTCATAGTTTTAAACTGTTTCCTTTTTGTCTTGATTACATCAAAGAATTAATGAAAAGCATTTTATTAATGAACTTGCTCTCTATTATCTTCTATGGCATCAAATATTATAATCATGCAATTTCCTTTTCATGTTTATACATGGCATATATATAATTAAATGGAAATCGCGCTCCTTGTTTAGAAATAAAGCAGCGATGAAAATAGCTGCAATATATTCTATTCTTTATCACTTCAGATCTACTAATCATGTTATCATCAACAATGTCCTTTCTAATTTTTGCATCTTTGGTGATGATATCTTATGGTCGAACAGTGCGTAGTTCGGATCCAATTATTCCTTTCATATTTTCACCTGTGAATACCGATGATAATAGTGTCATGGGCTCAACAAATGGTCATAATCGATTTATACACGTTATTGAACAAATAATTAGGTAAATTTCCTTTTTTTATATTAAATATGAAAGTATTTATTTTACCCATAAATTAGATATGTTTCATCAATAAAATCAAGTGAAACTTTTATTCAAAATATTGTCAATCGTCATAAAGAACCAGCTGAGAGAATGGAAGTTCTTTCATTTTTAAACAAATGTTTTGAACTTACCCATAAGGTTATTCAACGTGAAATCGACTATATGTTAGGCATGCCTGGAACACAAAAGAAATCTTCATATCCTCCACCGATATTTACATTAGAAGAATTAAAACAAGCTCAAAAGAAAGTTGATGAGCTACTAACTAGTATACAAAAACAAATCCAATCATTAAAAACTTGGATTCCACCAACAATGCCATTTCTTGGCTTTTTTTAACAGTTCTTTTCTTGAAATACATATGCATTAATCGGCAAGTATTTTTAAGAAATACTATAAATAAAACATATCTTCATGTATCGATTTCAATCAAATCTTCAGTCTTGAATAAATCGAAGGATTACATTGGTTCTTCATCTGATATTTAGTTTAAACAGACAAATGAACAAAAACAAAAGAATTCCTAATATATTATCGTAGACTTTAACTATTCAGTAGGTAATACAAACTCAAATTTTCTCCTCAATCCGGGAGTATGCAGGTGCTATGATGTTTTAGGATATACTGGAATTATAGCACATCGTCTATGATGAAAGTTTTAGCTTCATATTATGGTGCTCGCATTAGATATTAATTAAATAAATTTATAAAACAACTAATATCTAACCCTAGATTGCCTATGGATATTCATTATATATATATATATATATATATATATATATATATTATATGTAATGTTGGCTTGAAAGATCATTTGAGACTGTAGGAGTTGCCCAGATTTTCCAAGCTAAAAGCAATAAAAGTGCATTGAAGCACATCTCGCATAATTTTGTCTCTGTCACAACATTTATTTTAGATTCTTGTATGATAAATATCTGAAAATGATAAGAAAAGAACTAGAAAAATTTCATGCGATTAGAATGCTATTTGCTCAAATCTAACATTTATGGGGTAGAATTTCAATGAAATCAACAGCTATTCAGTGTTTAATATAAAAAAATCTACTAACTTTAATGAAAAAGGAATTCACAGAAGAAATAGTCTAACTAAAATAGAATGTATTACATTACAATTTGAATTTTTAATGACGTCTTTTTTCATTATAACGAACTTTCATTTTGCCATCAACCAAGACATCTCTCATCATAATGATTTAATCTTAAAGTAGTTAGATTACAGAGAGATATTTTGACATTATTATAGAAGTCTTATCCATTAGACGTCATGGAAATTAAAAATAGCTGAATATTTACGTTAATGATTGAAAATAGTGTGTTATTTAGATGGTATTTTTTCAAATTCTACTGAACATAGAATGTATTTGTAGATTTAAAATGAAGTAAATATCGATTATTTCGATTTCAGCTACAGCGTAGCCGTTTCATTCATGTCAACTTATTGTCTTTTTTTATTCAGCATAGACATTTATTATCTCTAAATAGTGATAAACATCTTCATTGAATTATATACTTCAAAATGAAGTAACCAGATTGAAATATATTTATAACAATATAGAATACACTCTACGCTTTTTTGAATCGCTTAAACCAGATGCTCTGTAGCTGAGTTAATTTTTTTTAGCTAGAAACTAGAACAGATATGTCGATCAATCGAGAATAAATATTAAAAAACTCTAACAATAGTCCTCGTGCGCAAAAAGAATAAATTATGAAAGTAGATTAATGTTTTAGACATAGCTTCTAAAGTTCAACTCAAGCTAGCAAGGGGATTTACTTTTTGAAATGATATATTTACTCAATCACCATTAGTATATATTGTATGTTACGGAAAACTGTTTTCAAAACTTACAAAATAAAAAATACAGCTCAAAAACTATTTGTTAAAAATCACTCAAAATAAGAATGATCGAAATACTAAAAGAACTTCTTTTTTTATCTTACTGAATATCAACCTCTTAAACAATTTAATCATTTTGCACTATCTAAATAAAAATGAAATTTTACATATTATAACATCAATCGTTTGTGTAAATGCGCTCTTGATATCAATATATTTCATAGCTCAGAAAGAAGCTCTTTTGACTACAAATCATTCTATCTTTTTTTATTTGTCAATATTTTCTACAGTATAAAAAGAAAATACCAGCTTATAAAAAGTTTGCAAATATATCATTTAAACTTCTGATTAATTAAAAGCAGCATTTCCATTCAGGAAAGAAGATCTCATAGAATTTCTTTTCTAATATGGATCATTAACAATTCTTCGAAAATACAAATCTTCTAATCTTAATTTTTTCATCAAATTTTATCCTCACATTTTTCAAACAGTTAAATTTGACTGTTATTTTATCTAAAGTTATTTGTATCGATTCATGGAAATTTTTCAAACTAAGTTAATAAGATAACTGACTAGAGTAAGACCTTCCTATTGTGAACACTATCGGGACCGTTCCAAAATGTTCAATTTATTAGGGAGTTGAAGTATAATTTGCTTTAAAACGAAGAAACGGTTCCAATATATATACTGCTACACTATCACTAAACAAAGGGTCTACGAAAATTGGTCGAATGAAAATTGGTCGAAAATTTTGTGGTTGAAGAACAAAGCCTTTTTTTTCTTAAAGCAGCCCGAACTTTGTAGTGTAAAGCTGAAACTAGCACTAATTGCATTATCATGTTAATATTAGAGGAAAATAGCGATTCGGACAAATAAATTAGGTATGCATAATAAACGAAAAGTCGTTTAGAACTTACGAAGAACACTTTCTAATTATTTTAGCAACATTGCCTGTTTTGGGAACACGGTGACCACCACACCCACACCCACACCCACACCCTCAGACTATCTTATAACTATAGTGTATATATACATTTATTATGGTGAATTAAAAACAATGATTTCCTTGCATGGCGCACAGCATTGATCGTGCATTGTCAGCAAAAAACAACTGAATGTTGAACTTTGCATTTAATTCCTTGTGACAAAAACCCACATTTAAGAAATGTTTCTAAAATTTTTAATTTCCATATTATTCAAAAGATTGTACAACTGTAACTACTCGTTAAAAAGGATTATTATCAATTAAGAGAAAAATTGAAGCACATGTTTTTTTATAAGTTTTGTCTGATATTGGGCTATTGGTAGATTCAGCAGTAAGCAGATTGAATCCCTGATAAATAATGGACTAGCGAACAAAGTATTCTTAAGATTTTCTGGTATCTTTGAACGGATTATATTTTTAGATACTCTTATTTGTTTAGCATAACTTGAAATTTTGTTTTTCGTCCCTCGTTATTCTATTTTCCATTCAGTTACATTCGCAAAGCACATCATTTATTTCTGCCTCGCTAGAGTAGCTGCTTTCGTTATTTCTTGTGTTTTTCACAATTCAGGTACTTTTTTTCATATGTTCTCGGCGTAGGATATCTCAGGTCAATATTCATGTCTATTTTGATCCGATTAGTCCAGGCATTATACCAAGGGAATCTAGTGTGAAGTTCGTCTAATCGGTTGGACAATCATGGCAGATTTTTCTAAAATAGATAAGTTTTTTAGGCACTTTTTGTACCAGTTTAGGTTTTTCTTTAGAATGAGAAGATCTTGGAGGAAAAGTAAATAGTGCAATCAACGGAGTTCGTCAATATCTATCTTGATCTAACACTTGGGCTACTCTCGGCCTACGATACTCAACATAAACATTCAGTCGATCTATCCATATCATTCACATATTGAAACGACCGATACTATATTTCATATAGCTGTTTTATCAGTAGCTCTGTTGGAAATGCTACCGATAGTAAAGGGTTATAGATTTATTGATAAATCATAAAAAAAAATTAATCCGATTGTTGAGACCGAATGAATGAAATTCTGACAGAATATTTACTCGTGCTATGCATGTATGTCTAGTAAATATAAATTTGCGAACGTGTTGTTTTTATGTATCACTCAAATAGTTATAGGCAACTTATTCAGATCGTGCCAATCGATATTTATCAAAGTATCATTCAAATAATTCAATATCTGCCAAAAATAAACTATTTTAAATTGAGCTAGTTCTCATTTACAAGATATTGTCGATCATTTCTTACATTGACATTTTTTACCAAGTTATTATACTTCGGATATTGATTGTCTTTATTCTATAAGTGAACAATCATTACTTTTTATTTCTCTATATAAGTTTTCATGATCTGATCATTTCACTTATTGAAAATATTCTAACGGATGAAGTCAGAAAGACTGCTTTTTCTTCTTTAGAAAGTCGTATAATTTGGCTCTTAAGAGTATTACTTGCCTCACTATTCTCCAATAATGTATAGAGAAATCCTTGGATACAATTTGATTGAGAATCGACTAATTCATCGTTTAAAATAAGACTGACAGCTATGCAACAAGAATTGATTGAAATATAAATAAAGCATTAAAAGATCCGTTTATTTTTCCGCATTCGGTATGGGCACATATTATTTCGCGAATTTCTCTAGTTTTTATCTTGGGATTGATCTTAAATTTTGTTAAATATATATCTATACGCTCAGAGCTAATAATATTCTGTCTACAAAAGTCGTAGTCTCACAAATAAAAAGAAATGAATCTGTAAATGAAAAATAACGCTATGGTTTAGTAGCTAATTATTTTAGTAAATGGAATATACATAAACTCGTGGGAACCCGTAGTGGTTAATCGATTCTTCAAGCTGCTACCAAAAGCAATTATTTAACTCTTCTACCACATATCAAAGGCTATTTTTGGATATACTCCACTTATCAGGAGATCAAATAGTTTTTGTCAGAAAGAACTATGACTGAGCTAAACATTTGTTATTACATATATTTTTCGAGAATCAGTTTAAAAAGCAGGAAAATCAAAAGTTCTAACACCACTCAAACAAGTCTTTCAAGTTTTTTCATCGTCAAACGTTTCTATTTCTCAATTACTCTAAACAAAATCGGCTAGCTTTTTTCTAAACACAACACCAAAATATAAAACATCAAAAGCTCTATCGAAATAAACTTTCATGAAAACTTTCAGACCAGTTATTTAATCATACAAAGTTGCAAAAGAAAATTTTTGTAGAATCAAGCTTTTTCGAAAGACAGATCCATTTTGAAGGAAGTTAACTAAAAATCTTCAGAATTCATGCACCAAATAAGGTTTTTATGTATCTTACAGTGAACATATACTAGATCATAGAAACTCAGTAGGACAAAATCATATAAAAATATCTTCATTGTGCCGAGACGTTCTAGTAATAGGAATGCAAGATTTATGAAATCTATTCTAGAAAAATCTATACCAGCTGTAAAAAAAAAGCATTAACTCAATTTGTAAGACACCACTAGAAAGCGTGCGATTTATCATCGAAAACTCATTACTTAATACACTTTTTAATCACGTTTCTTATATGAGAGAAATTATAGAACAGAAAAAGGTCTCGCATGCTGCCAAACTTACATGACTTGCTTCAATGATGTTGAAGTACTGTTTGCTTTTCCTGTTTCTTAGATTCATTGTGAAAAATTATCTGTGATAGAAAATTTGTCGCGTAGAAATTATTATTTCCAACAAAAAATATTGTACATGGAAATATGTTACGTTCTTTAGAGAGAGAATAACGTTCAAATGTGTCGGAAGACTTTCGCAGCACACTTTATGACATAGTGAGATGATATTTTAAGCACGCCAACTATAGAAAATAAGATGACGTGCTGCGAAAAACTTCAACTCTGTGTGATCAAAACCATCTTTACAACATTAAAAATGCATGAAATCAATTCGATATACGATTAGTTTTGCGCGCCATTGTAAAGTCCAGTTACAAATTCATCGTGTAAGAACAAGTTTTAGTACTGGAGAAAGGTTCTCTAGACGTGATCCATGAATGGCTTCATATTATATAATTATAGCGATAGTTCCACTTTATAATTGTATAATGAAATATTTCTGTCTCGCATAAAAGTTGAGAATAAATAGTTTTGTAGAAAATGAAATTTTTCATACAAAACGATGAGATCAAAGCGTAATATTAAAACATACTAAAACTATCATGTATTCCTCAAGACCTATTGAAAGTATTTTATTTGAATTACATTCAAGTAAAAGATTGAACAAGATAAATGTTACTTGAGCTTTTAATATCAATCTTCAGTTATGTGTTAAATTATCCTTGGACTGAAATAAAACAAAAAAAATTGAAAGAAAAACAAAACACTTAATATCTATATCTATATATATATATAAGTTGATACAAGTGAAAAATATAAATCTGTATGTCAGAAGACAAATTGAATCCTAAACATCATTTATAAGAATTTTGAATACGTGAAGATTTTGATATTTGATCAGTTTTTGCTTTATATCTTATTGTCAAAACCACAGCGACTATAATAATAATAATTATTATTATGAGTGTCGTAAGAACAGTACCAACAGCGATTACACGGCGTTTTCGTCTTCGATAAAGAATAACTTGCGCTTGTGCTTGTACTTGTGGTTGGATTTTATTGAAATCCTATTTAAAACAAAATCATAACTAATTTCTTTTTAACATGAAAACGATATAGCAAACTTGTAGTTTGACTGTTGTTTCAAGTTTATCAGCTCGAGCAAGTAAATCGTCAAGTGTAGCATCATTATTACTAATTGTTTCATCAATAGGATCTATTAGAACATCGGATGACGACGACTCTCCAATATAATTTTCTTTTTGATATTCCTTTGATGTTGGATCACTCTAAATAATTAAACATACTGAATTATTTATTTAAACAGAATAGTAGACAGGCATTTACAAGAATACTTAATTGAGATGTATTATTTGTTAATCGATCTCGTAATACTGAGTCTTTCATATTAGTGGATGTTGATTCTGATGATGTTTTAGAAATTACTAATAATTGTTTATCTTTTGTACTTTTTCGTTTCCAACGTTCCTTTAGAAAAAGATCATTTTTTAGGGTCATAATAAACTTAAACGTACTGATCCGTTTCGAGTGGAAAGTTTGAAAGATCGTTTTTGATATCTAATTTTTCTATAATTTTCTTTATCAGCCATATATTTATTTTGTGTGCATAAATCACATTCATCGTCACTTTCGTCTTTAGTCTTTTTTGTTACATGAATTATTCGATAAGAAGTATTTTGTCGAATTGATGATTTCTTCTGTAAAATATTTGGTTTACACTTTAATATGAAAATATATTTTTCGTGTATGTTACACAATCAAGATTCTTCTTACTTCATAAGTTGTGTCTGTTAATGTATTCATTTTGTGTTGTTCACATAAGATTCATTCAATAGTCGTGTTTCGAAAGATTTCACGTGAAAAACTTCTGTCAATGAAGAACGAAAGACTCATAAAAAACTATTTCTATTTCTCTTTCTATGCTCTCGATGTCGTCTAAGCTACTACGTTCTCGTTCTCCTTTTTCTCTAATACTCTAACTCACAGCGTACTCATCGATGTGTATACGCCGAAAGGAAACGAGGGACCAAGAGACATGAGTATGAAAACGATGATGAGAGTTGTTGTTATTGCTATTCTTTCTGATTGAATACCTCTCAATCAGTAATTTTATTTTAGGCATTGTTTAGCACAAAAGAGACCGGTGTTGTTCATAAATATAGTAAAGTAATAGAAAATGAATAAAAAGTCGAGAAAAAAATAGAATAATGATTGTTGACGATTGATCAATGGTCTAATAACAAATGAACTTTCTATGGTTAATTAGGCAATGATAGGTAAGAATTTTCAATGTTTGATATATATAGGTATTATGTGTACTTTATCTTGTTTTTGTTTTTCCATTATCAAATTATAAACAAAAGATGAACTTAATGATTGGCACAAATATGTTAAAGTTGATTTAGAACGAAATGTCTCGTAAGATTTTTTTGTCTAATTTCAAATAGAAAAGAAAATTTTGATTAACATCTATATGGAAAACAAAAAATGCATTAATATACGTTCATGATACTAAAGAAAACCTACATGAAAGCAATCCCTTAGAAAAGTACTTGATTGTAGAAGAAGAGATATTTCATGTGTAGATTTCTATTCGTTGAGACTGTCCTTTATTAGAATTCTTTAAAAATATGAGTTTTTTTTTTCTTTTGTATAACACGTTAACATAGTTCGTCGTTTTTTCTCTAAAAAATATGATTCATTCAACGTTTATTATGAAGTATATTTTGATGATTTGTTTTGGCATGCATTTAATGTAATATCTAAAAATATAGCAATCCATATCTAAAATATATCAATATTGCCTAACTTAATACAGTAGTATCTATTCTGGTGAAAGGATGCCTTTAAAAAAATTGTTGAATCTTATTTTGTAATTCAACATCTTTTAAATCCATTAAATATCTGAATGAAAAAATGTTCTGTCTTTTAATTCAATATATTATCACTTTTAACAAATGACTATCAATGAATTTATCGACCTGTCTAATTAATTTGAACGTAATCTATAATTGATAAGTATTTATCAATTAATTGAAAGAGTATATATGAACTGGGAATGACGATAAGTGATAAGAAAAAAGTTAGCTTAACAAATATCTTGGGTCGAGTGTGGGTGTGAAGAGAGATAAGAACACCCATACCCACACTCCGCATCCTCAAGATTTTTTTCTATTACTTTAATAATTAATTGTATATAACTTTGTGTTGTTAGGTAGTGTTACTTAATAAATTAGGTATAAATAAATTTTAAAATTAGATATAAATTCATCGTGTATTAGATATAAATTTATTTTAAAATTAGATATAGATTGCTATATTTTTAGATATTGGTTTATATTTACTCCATTTGTTTTCATTTAAAATGGATAAAAGTTTGCAATTAGTATGTTATTTTAAATTCACAAAACAAATTCATCTATTGAATATATTAATTATTTGTCGAGCACAGCTCGTATTTTACAAGGACAAATGATAGCATTTCCGGTTAATTTAACCCACTCTATAAAAATTTTCTTTGCCTTACTAAAACGATTTTGAATTCATGAAAAAGAAATAACAAAAGAGTGAGATATAATCTATGGAAGCTTCATTCTTCGATGATAAAAAGGCTAAGAAAAATATAAGTAATCAATGAATGTCAGTCTTGATAGAAATATATCCGGTTTTTTTCTTATAATTATTCTGTGATGACTTAATGCTACTCATTCATCATAGGATGAAGCAACTTGATTTAAATTAGCTGATGGCATATAAAACTTTCTCTGGAAGCATAAATAATTTATTTAGATAGTTTTTATTGACAATGATTTGAAATTATATTTGTCTTAGACGACGCACCATAGACTTATTCTACGGAAGTGTTCATCAAAAATTATTGGTTCACATTTGAGAAAACATTTATGAGAGCTAAATGTCAATCCAGATCGAAATGAAAACTCAGTTGAAAGACTGAAATCCAATGTGTCATTTTATTTTGAATAAAATAATTTCATAAATTTTTATAATCTAAATCAAAATATGTTGTGTATTATTGACTTAATACATAGAAAAACGAGATTTAATTTATATATGGTTCATTTCAACATGGTTCTAGTAAAGATTTTGAATATTGTGTTTTTTCTGAAAAGAGAAAAGCAAATCTATATTAAAGACAATGAAAACAACTATAAGTCACATAACATCAATCATAATTATGAAAAACAATTCAAAGCCAATAAAAACAATTGAAAACAGACCAAATCTACAAAGGAAACACCATCATTCAACTTAAAATTGCATTTTATGATAATTCGAACGCACACTGAATCCTCTCTTATTTACACAGTAATATATTCAACAAAATGATTACAAATATTTCATTTGTCTAACGACAGTATGCTCAATTATCGACAATTATGCGTATTCATTCATTTCCTTAGAGTCCTACAAAATTTTATAGATTTTTCAACTTATGAACGGCGGTTATTGTTGAACGATATAATGATACAGAAAAATGAAAAACAAAATTCTATTATTGAAATTGAAATTTTATTCTCCTATTTTTAATTTATAATAGAATTAAAAAAATAATTTTATTTTTAGTATTAACACAAATCTAAAGTATCATTTGACAGATCTCTTTCCTACCAAGAATTAACTTATCTTCTAAAAGATCACTCAGAGATGCTCAGCATTTTGTTTTTCAAAAATGTTAACTTGATAATGTTAACGAAACAGGAGAAGAGTTTTCCCCATGGTTTAAATCATCAACGATAAAAGCACAACAATACTTATCATTGTTAAGAGACTTATCGCACACTTTGCATCGAAATAATTTCGTTCGCTGGCTTGTACTAAAAAAGATTATTGCAATTGGTGTTTTCTTATTTCTCTGTAACACGACATTTTATGAAAAGCTTAAGAAAAAATCGTGTATTCGATGTGTTTTATTGAAAACTCATTGACTTTTTTTAGATGTTGGGTAAATGATTCAGTAAGAAAATAAAGCATGAAATAAGAATTTTTTGATCTTAAGGATTTTTTTGCATCTAAAGCCATCGCTGTAACACAATTATTATCACAATAAAGCTTTGATAGCTCTCGCTTCTTTTTCGATTGCTTATGGTTTTCTTAAGGTTTAAAGAAAACTTTCTAGATGTAAAGAGTCTGATTTTTTTCAATCTTGTTATAATTTTTAATCAATGGAAGGAATTATCTAACTATTAATCATTCATCAAAGTGGTATGTTGTTCAAAACTAAGATTTAGTGTCATTGACAAGCGTCGAAAAGGATTTATTTCAATTAATTTTGTTTGTTGCATTTTGATCATTTGGTCGGATTTTCGACGCATGTTGTTGTTTTCATTTTTCTATGAATAAGCATTTGTGAGAAAAGCAATTTGATAATTAATTTATAAATCTATATGTAATGTCTATGAAAAAGTTCTTTTAGAATTTTTCTAGTCTGAATGAGTTTTATGCTTAGCGTGTTCTCATTCAACTGATCCAAAGCATAATTTTATTGCTAAGATTAACTTCATGTGTAGTACGTGCAATGAAATTACACGTTTACATGTAAATTCATAAATTGATAACCCATCTATGTAGAAATATCTAGTAAACATGGATATTTCTAGAAACAACAATATGACTATTCTCAAGTTATACGACGAAATGTTATCTCGTCGTTTTATTGCCGTCTAAAGTTGATAAACAATTCATTGTTGAATTACAGTTCTGTAACAATCTATCACATTCTGGATCGAAACTATCAAAAGATTGCCTTTTAAGTTTATTATAAACAATTTCATTCCTTGTTTTATCAATCAGTACTTATTATATACGTATGCATAAATATTTCATGATTTAGCGCGCAATACGCGTTTTCTTAGTACGAGTTAAACAATTCTCATTTTGATTATATAATCCACAGAATATGTATCTTCAACTTTAACTAAACCAAAGATCAACGGAAATCGTCTTAATTTTAGTTTTTATCTTATACTTCAAATTTTCGATCAATTATTAAATTCGAATAATAGAAATATAAACTTGAAATACAACCGTTATTTTATTAAATCTGATTCGAGAATAGAGATTTTCTGTGATACTCATATAAGATGTTTACTTGCGTTACATAAATTTCGGCCAACGAAAATTCTCCGGACTTTCGGACCAATTTTATACAAATTCATTAAACTCTGAGAAAAAAACGAATTTTTTTGAAAATTGGTTTCTAGATTTTTTAGTGCCGAGCGAAGCGTCGTAGTGCCGAGCAAAGCGACGTAGTACTGAGCGAAGTAATATAGTGTTTAAAACAGCACTTCTATTATGATAGAACATAGTATGGCGTTTTAAGATGCATATCGTTTATCCACAACAAGCACGAACGAATCTAGTGTAATCTCAATATTGACTTAAGGATGCACATTTTTTAGTTTTATTTTAGATGTAGAATTCACTATTGCTGGTATATTTTTCGAAATTTGTTGAGATGTATATTAGGTATAAATTCGCTTTTTTTATTTCAACTAGTTTTTCTTCTATGGAATGAAAAACGCCGCTTCGCTCGGCACTACGTCGCTTCACTGGGCACTACGCCGCTTCGCTCGGCGCTACGTCGCTTCACTGGGCACTACGCCGCTTCGCTCGGCACTAAAAAATCTAGAAACCAATTTTCAAAAAATTTACGCTCTTTTTCAGGGTTAAATGATTTTGTATAAAATTGGTCCGAAAGTCAGGCCCGAAAATTCCGTGGGCCGAAATTCCGGTCTCCCGTTTACTTAGATATATTTGAAAGTTCTTCTTTTAAACTCTAGTATTCAACGATTAACAGTGCGCTGGTTTTATGAATCCTTTGAAAGCGTGTACGGGATCCAAATATGATATCTAACTATCGAACCCATCGAGAAAATCTGAAGAGACTTTGGAGTTTCCTTACTTTCGTCTATCATGAGTCAGATTTTGGATAATTTTGCGATATCATATTTCATTTAAGAACTGACTTTCATTGATAGATTTTTTAGGTTAAAACAGTTTTCTGTAGCTGATATTGCTTTTGGTTGCTTTTCAATATCTGTTGAGATAAAATACTTTAAAACAAAACCTTGGCTTGTACTAGTACCATTATCTTCATGTTTTTAAAGAACGAAAATCATATATACTCAGTATAAAAGCCACTAAACATTACAGAAGCATTAATCGTAAAGAATGTGATGATATAAACAGTCAAGATAACATAAAAGAATTTTGAGTTTTCAATACTAAAAACATCACTTCTTATTCTTCTCATCGAACTCTATCGAAATACGAGTGTAAAGCAATAGCACTTATTACAAAAGCCAGAAAAAAAGGCATAGGAACGTGAATATGGTAACAATACAAAAGACACATGATTAAACCAAATGCCAGAAAAAAGCACTATTATGAACAGAATTTCAAAAAAGTATAATAACATATGAAAATGAAGGTTCTGTTCAACAGACTATAACGATTTCACTTCACTTGACGCAATCAATACATTCCTTATCAGTTGCTAATGCCATCTATAACAAAATCTATGACTTTGGTTTTTATCCAATAGTTTTCAAACTTATATAGCAGAACAAAGATTGAAAAAATAAATAAATGCATTGGATGACAGTCACCATTCATTTGTTTATTGCGTTCGAATAAAACGGTTTACTTCTTAGTAAACCTTTTATTCTGAACAACGTATTTATTCGATGATTTTAAATGTATATGGCGTTTTCTTTGTAAGATTATTTCTTCGAGTATTTTTTTCAAATAAATGAATATCTTCTTGTTATCGTCATGTGATGAAAACGAGCAAATTGAGTTGTGTTGTGAAAATTGCATGAAATCTTGATGGCTATCTGTGAAGCTAACTAATAAGCCATTGTAAGGCCGTGCAAATAGAAATCAATTTGCTTTTTATTTTTCGAATTATTATTATTACTGCCTTGCTTGAAGATTTTAATGCAATGTGCAGATATAAATATAAGCAAACATAGTAAAACTGAATGAACGGAGAAATTCTTTTCTTTTTAAACAATGAAATTTCTTTAGTAATCTGATGACGATAATAAAAGAAGAAATTTTAAGAGTGATTTAAATTTAGTTTTATACTTTTCAGATAGATTATTACCATACATTATGCTACATAGAAATCATGGCAATGATAACATATATGCACGTAGTTTGAAAAGATCTGTTTCGGTAAGAAAAATATCAGTCACGTATATTTTCTAATACATTTTGTACGTATTTTAGCCTGATCATTCGTTAATGGATTTACAGAAAACTAAAGTCGCTAAAATAGAGGTAAGAATGTGTTTCATTTGAATGATAGTTTTAATAGATTATTTTAAAAAGCTGATGTGAAAATTCGTTTTCTCACGTAAATTTTATTCGTAATGATTCGTTTAGTATTTAAGGACTCATGAATATTAAGAGAACTCAAAAGACATTTTCATTTATATGTTGATTTATTTCAGAGATACAAAATATCTTGTGGCAAAAAGAAATGGTGTTCTTTCTTTTTTTTTTATCTTCTCACATGCAAGAATTTATTCTTTAGTATTAAAGTTAAAAAATTTCTGATAGTGACTCAATTTAGTAAACATATTTCACAGTAGAATACAGTTGATGAAAATTTTTCGTATTGTTTGTTCTACTTTAACCAATTGAAAGATTTCTCAAATTGAAGCAAATCAATACGAAATTCACAGATTCGAAACAATTCCAACAGTTTCCATCTATCAGATTCATTGTGTTCATGAAAATAAATAGTATTTCAATAAGTTTATTGATTAAATAGAAGTGAGTTGAAATGGTAAGAAACTTCGATAGAATTGAAAATTCCCACTATCAATCACAAAGCATTCAATGATTACAGGAAACAAGTGCATTAAAAATAAAGTCGTACGGAAATCTTATTATCAGCCTAATATAAACTTAAATCAGGAGTTACAATATTTTGAGTAATTTATTCTATAGTAAAGTCATACATATTTAGATCACTTTGATAGAGATGATCTCCTTGAAAATATTTATCTAAACAAAATAGTACGAATCTCTCATATGACTGTAAGCTTAGAATATCAATTTTCGAGAAATTTTTTAAAAGAGTATTTGCAAAATTTGTTTTCTATCAAATTAAAAACTATAGTAACTAAATAATATATTGATATCACTTTCATCCAGTTTTTTTTATTACTAATTGTTCGATGTATCAAATTATTTCAATATTTTCCCTATTACATACTTGTATATGAGTTCAAATTGAATTTGTTTTCATCTGTGGTTTAAATTATAACATCGTCAGAAAGGAAAAATAAAATCTAAAAAAATTTGTTATTGTCTTGTGCTCAAGTTACATTTTGCTCTTCTCGTTAGTATAAATACACCTGTTGTTGTACGTCTTGAGAATCAACTGTTAACGTCTATTCAACGTGTATAAAATGCAATAGATCATATCATATTCGTTGTATCTCACTTATCAGTTAACATCTGATAGTATTTCGTCAAAATAGTTCTCAGCGTATATAAATGATCGATTTCTTTAAAAGACAATGTTAAATGGAACCATAGAGAAATACTGTTCATGCTATTGAAATTGTTGCACAATCTAAACAGGACCTTTTTCAATCGTGTTGTATTGCGAAAAACTAGATCTTGCCTAGCTATGTGCTTCATATTCGCTGTTTTAAACCTCGATGGTTTCTTTTTATCTGCACGATATGTTTTCTTTTCGTCGAACAGAATACGGAGGAAAATAAATTCAATTAGCAACTTACTTTTCGTTTCTCTTTTTCCGATGTTTTGTAAATGTAGAGGAAAGCAAAGAAAAAACGAATCGAGAAAGCGCAAGGAAAGAGAATGCTAGTTTGTATTCATGTCAGTGTGTATTTGTCCGATCGGTCAAATAAATGAATCGAAGCAAACATGAACGATTAAAAGTGAGAAACAAAATATTTTATTGGCTTAAGATAAAATTAAAATATTTTATATTTCTTCTATTTTTTTTCTATCCTTTGTTTAGTTACAAAAAAATGGTGGTAATAAAGAAAATCTCATTAAACGAACACAATCTGGTAAGATATTAAATTAAAAGAACTACTTCTTCTACACACAATTATGTTGTGGTATATTTTATTCATTACTGATTATTTGCATATTAGACATGGCACCCTAAGGAATAAATCGATATACTCTATCGTATTCAATAGTAAAAAGAGAACAAATAGATATCATATATAAAGTTCTAATAAGAAAATAGAATGAGTTCAAAGACTTCAGAGATTTTTTTAAATACATTAATAAATAACAATTATCAATGGATTAGTTCATATCAGTGCAATGACATGAAAATAAAAAGTATAAAACGGTCATCGACATAATATCCTCAGCTAAGTTTGGTATGAGAAGAAGCTCGATGAATTATGCAAGCACTTGGTCATAAATAGTACTTGAGAATGAACTTTTAAAGCAGTCTCAGATGTTTTATTCTAACTATGAGTTTTATCTTTGATATCTAAAACAAAGTAATTCGAAAAAAAGCTTGATCTGTATCAGAATATTATTGAATATGCTTGAAAAAGCTATTCAGGTAGTAAAGAACTATTTGATATATAATATACTATCTGGTAGAAAATGTAACGATTGAGTACAATATTCCTGATTAATTTATGACTTTCATGGTGTGGTTTATTCATTATTTTGAAAGTAGAGGCTGCACTGTATTATCTATCGGTCTAATACAGTTCATTTGAGTTTGAGCGCTACATTACTATTATTTATGGTAACTTTTGAATATATTCTTATAAAATAAATAAACTGAATTTAGAAATGGTATTGGCTAAAGATTCTTCATTGACAATTGTGAATAAATCGGATTCTGATGATATTCCATGTTATCAATCTCATCCATTATGGTCAAATATGATGACAAAAACATTTGATAAAACATATAATTATTATTTAAATGTTCTTGACTCTCATCCATCTATTACCACTAAAATGCGAAGTGTTTTATTTGATTGGTTAATTGAAGTAAAATATCTTCGAAAATAAAATACACAATCAATTTTTTTTCTGTTTCATTTTAAAGGTTAGTGAAGTTTATCAGCTTCATCGTGAAACTTATCATTTATCTATTGCTTATGTTGATCAATATTTATGTAATACCAGTAGTTTGCTAAAAAATAAGTTTCAATTACTTGGTATAACATCGCTGTTTGTTGCAGCAAAAATTGAAGTAAGAAAAAGGTTTCTTTTGATATGTTTTGTTTTCATTTAAAATTTTAAGGAAATTTATCCACCAAGATTATCTGATTTTGCTTATGTTACTGATAATACGTGTTCAGAAGAAGATATTTTGGATATGGAAATAGATTTAATGAATGTAAGAAAAAGTCTTTTTCTTAATCGCTATTAAAAGAAATTTAATTAATAAATTTAAAGACATTAAATTGGTATATTAATCCAATAACATCTATAAGTTGGCTATTAATTTATCTTCAAGTCGACTATGAAATGAATTACGTATTAAATAAGAATCATTCATCAAAAAAAAAACGACGATTATCATTTTCAAACAGTGAAATTCTTCGAAGTTCTAAATTAACTAATGCTCATCGATCAAAAGACTTTCTTCAAATATTTCTTTTAGCTGTTCGAGTAAATTCAGATTATTTTCCAATAATTTTAAGAAAAACATCATAATTTATGATTAATTTAGTTGCTTGATTTATGCTCACTTGATATTGAATGTAGTCAATATTCCAAACATGTACTAGCAGCATCATCTATTCTTTTATATAAATCACATTGGCCAATTCAAGAAATAATAGGTAAAATGCAATTTTTTTTTGATTCATGACCATTATTTTTTGATGATTTATTCAAATGATTAGGTCTAAACAATAATGAAATTTCCAAGTGCCAACAATGGATGAAACCTTTTCATGAAGTTCTTTCAGGATCATTATCATATCAATCTGTTCGTTCATCATCATCGGTACCCGATAGTGAAACATATTCTATTCAGATACATAACATTTCAATGGATTTACTCGTAAAAAAGTTTTTAATTAATATAAAATAATTTTTTTAAATTAAACATTTTTCTTCCAAGGCCAATGTTTATGAAAAACGTGCAAAATTTGTATCGTCATTAATGAATAATCGACCTTTTCGCGATCTTGTGAATCATCTTTCTTCGTCATCAATAATATTAGGATCACAAAAAACTGAAGACGAACAACAGCAAATGAATGATGTAACTGTTATTGTATAATTTTAGCCGATGAGAAAATCAGATATGTCATTTTCGTTTTTATTTATTTTGCTAAACAAAATAAGAAAATAATTAATGCATTAAATAAGTCAGATACTATATATAGAATTTAATAGAGATAATGATGTTAATAGTTTTTGTTTTTGAATTACAATTATATGTTTTATAGGCTATTTTCTTTCTTTAAAAAAGAATTTATATTCATTGTTCGTTTTTTCTTTTGTGTTTGTATGCATCAATTAAAGATTTTGTAGAAGAGGAAAGAATGTTAAGATTAACAATTCTAAGTATAAGCATGATGCTGATTACATTCTCATACAATTAAAGACGATTTTGTTACTTGTATATGTTTACGTTTTTTTTTTGTTAGACTCTTTTATGGCTAAACTGATTATGTCGATATATCTTGTTAATTATAAAAACAAAACTTATTTTAATTTAGTTTTAGAATTTATTTTAAAGTTTTCTTGTGTGAATAATAGTAATAAATAAATTGCACATAAAATTTTAGATCATAAAATAATATTCTTGTTACTGTTTCATGTTATATCGATGGGTACATCTCATATTAATTATTTATTTTGTTCATTTCGGAATGTCATACTGACTGCTTTTGTCCTTTCTAGATCTACACATATCTTTCTCTGAAAAACACCGTTCACGATGGGTCTCTGTATTGGCTCTTTAGGCTCGTCAGTAGCATGCTGCTTTGGTAATGCATTTTGTTCACTTTGTTGTGCTGCTTGTCCATCATGCAAAGGTTCAACATCATCACGTATTGCTTATGGTCTTATTCTTCTTGGCGGCTTAATAACATCATGCATTATGTTAATACCCGGACTTGAAAAAACTTTAGCAAAAATTCCGGCATTATGTTCTGGCGGTTCAAAATTGGTAAATATACCATCAATACCGTCAATACCATCAATACCGTCAATGCCATCAATACCATCAATTCCATCAATACCTTCAATTGATTGTTCAAAAATTGTTGGATTTTTAGCCGTTTATCGACTTTCATTCGGAATGACGATATTCTTTTTTCTTTTATCACTTATTGTAAGTATATTGAATAATGAAAATAAGAATTACCAATATATTTTCGTATCTAGATGATCAATGTTAAAACATCAAGAGATTTTCGAGCAAAAATTCAAAATGGATTTTGGGCATTCAAATTACTAATACTTATCGGTTTTGTAATTGCTGCCTTTTTTATTCCTAATGATGGTTTTGCTCATGCATTTATGGTTATTGGGTTAATTGGAGGATTTATGGTAGGTCAAAGATTAAGATTATTTGATTTTTGCAGAATTAATTTTAATCTCTATATTATAGTTTATTCTTGTTCAATTACTTTTATCAATTGATTTTGTTCATTCGTAAGTTTTTAAAAAGAATTTCTCGAATACTTAAAACCTGATATAATTAATTATTTAGATGGAATGAATCATGGATTGAACGTGTCGAATCTGGCTCAAAAAAACATCTGTGGGGCTTATTATTTTTTACTGCATTATTCTATGGAATATCTCTCACTGGCATCATACTTTTTTACATTTATTATGCTCCGGATCGTAGTGTCTGCCGTTTACATACGTTTTTTATATCATTTAATTTATGTTTATGTTTGATTTTGTCGATAATATCAATATTACCTAAAGTAAAAGAATATAATGCATCAATTGGTTTACTTCAATCATCGTTCGTTAGTCTTTATGTTATTTATTATACATGGTTGGTTCATTTTCTTTTATTTGCATTAAATTTTGTATAAGAAATAAAATATTTTATTTTTTTTCTTTTTTGTTAATGCTTAGGTCAGCAATGAGCAGTAATCCAGACCCACAGTGCAATCCAAGTATTCGTGCAATATTCGATCCAAAAAATTCAACTTCAACACCAAGTCCTCCTCCAACAAGACAACAAAATATATTTGACCCAATAACAATAATTGGTTTAGTTATGTTTGGTATTGCACTTTTCTATTCGGTTTTTACAACATCACGTAATAATCGTGCAAATAAATTATTTTTATCATCATCATCACCAGACTTCTCAACTATATTGGATGATACATCCATAGCAGATACTGGAGCAGCAATGGATAACGATGAAGAGAAATCTCATCAACATGTTTATGATGATGAACGTGGTTCAGTTTCATATAATTATTCTCTATTTCATTTTATGTTTGTACTTGCGACATTATACGCCATGATGACGTTAACTAAGTAATAGGAATTCTGTTTCTTTTTGACACGTTTTTTATTGATATATTTTTGTTCTTGCCTTCTAGTTGGTATCGACCAGCAAAAGATTTTAGTACATATAATAATAATTTGGCATCACTTTGGGTCAAAATAGTATCGAGTTGGATCTGTGTAGTTTTATATATTTGGACATGTGTTGCACCGGCTTTATTTCCTGATCGAGATTTTTCATAAATACTGTGAAAACATTTACAATTATTTCCTTTATTGATGAAAACAACAAAGACAAAACGAAACATTTCTTTTTTTCTTTTTCCGTTGTATTGTACGTGTGTGCGTGTGTATAGCTAGAATTCGAATAATTCATCAACAAAACAAATTAATTATTTATTTTATATATATATATATATATGCGTATAAATATACATATATGTTTTTCAATTTTAACTCTAATAAATGTAAATTTTTTGAAGATCATGCCGCGAGTACCGATTGCAAGTGAAGATGAAAGAAAATTTATTGTTGATGGAATACAGGTACGATTTTTATAATTTTGATGCAATAATAAAACTAATAAAACAAAGCTTTTCACTGACACGTGGCATATTCCAATGGTATCTTGTTTATCTGTTGAAGATGATCATTTACGAACAAACTCAAGAGAAAACTCAAAATTCCGTTGAACATTTCACCGAGTTATAGGATTGATATCTCAGTAGAGAATAGAAATTCAGATTTGTGGCAATTTTTTTACAACAAATATTTAGTAACATCTCGAATGCTCTTCGGATTCAAATCGAAAGAATATAAATAAAATATCATTAGCAATAGTATAAATCAGCTGATGGGTGTCGTATTCAGGTGTGTTTTCTAACTTCATTATATGATTGGTAGAGTTAATCATACGTTTATGTAATAGATATATTCTATTCTTATCTGTTTTATTTTATTTCTTCAAATCACATTCAAACAAGAAAAGATATATAAAATTGAGCATCATTATTAGTTAGAAAGCTATTTTATTTTGCTTTCGCTCGATATAGAATGATGTTTTACTGGCTCTATCTTCAGCTGAGATATTTTTAGTGGATGACTCTCTTTTAATCTCTATCTGTCGTAAAATAATTCTTCTCTTTTTGAGAAATCATTTTACGAGTTGTTGTTGAAAGAAAAAAGGTTCGAACTATGCAAATGAAATTCTGAAAGTTCATCTTTTTTGAAAAATCTAAACTATAGACAGACATTTTCATTTTAAGTCGATGGCTGAGTTAATTTACTAAACAACATTTTTTTGTGTTTAGTCAAATTTTCGAAACGATGGTCGTAATTGTCGTGCCTATCGTCCATTATTACTTGCTACTGATGTGATAACTACTGCCAATGGGTCATGTCTTCTTAAATTAGTAAGATTTCGTTTAATTAAATTTTATAAAAAACAAACAAACAGAATAAATATCTTGTTAGGGTGGAACAGTTGTTATGGTTGGTGTTACATTTGAATTTAGTCGTGCAAGCCAAGAAAAACCAAATGAAGGTCGCATTGAAGCAACTGTAGATGGGTAAGTTTTTCCAATTATTTTCTCTGTTTATCGAAATCTAATAATTAAGTTTGCTGCTGTAGAATATATTTTTTCAATAATTTTTCTTCTTCCCGAATATCTGAATGAGTTTTATCAATCCATTTATCAATACTGCAAATCATTTTTTGATGAAAACGATGATAAATCATTTTTTGTATTTTGACTATTGATGACCACTTAAAAACGAAAAGAAAACAAACATCAATATTTCTTTTTAAAGAAAATAAATTATAAAATATTTTTACTAAAATTTTATCTGTTGTTTTTGTGAAAAATGATTTCCCATCATTATTTTCATTAACTGTAATAAGTTCAATTAACTTATGAACACACATAGATGATTTTTGATTTGGCCAATTTTCATACCATTTCGTATTTAACTGTAATGGTAAAATATTCGGTTTTTTCGTCGACGAATTTCTTGTCGGATCCTCATCTATACGATAATCGTGTTTTTCATCTAATCTCTCAGCAATATTAATTATTTCATATTCTTTTAAATATTTTATTTGTTCACTATTAAGCGGAAAATTTAATGGCGAATTATTATTTATAATCGATAAATTATTATTTATGTAATAACTTTGTATAATAATACGTATATAATAATCAGTATTTTCAATAATTGTCAATGTATATGGCCAATTATCCCATGAATATTCATCTAACATAAGATCAGTTTTAGGTTTAGAAAATAATACTTCCAGAAATTTAGGCGTTTGATCTTTAATATTATATTTTTTATGTGTTACTATTGTCGATGATGTTATATTATTTTTTAATTCTAAAGGAATTTTTTCATTGATCATATTTAAACGTTCCTGTTCAGTTATGTTATCATAAGTTTTTATACATGTTGTACATGTTTTCAAAGTTTCTTTAAGCAATTCGATTTCCGTCCATTGTTGACCAAGCCGATATTCATCCAGAGTTAAAGGAATCGGAATACGATATTCTTTTAGTCTCATTTCAATTGTTTTTATTTTGAGAAAATAGTTTTAGCTATAACCGCGCGCATATTATTATTTATTTTAGAAGTGGCTGTCGATCATTGAGGATATTTGGAAGACATCGGAGACAGTATACAAAACAAATAGCCAGAAGTCTTAATTATATACTTAACAATTCAAAATGTTTTGACTTAAGTCAATTATGTGTGGTTAAAGGACATCATTGTTGGCTTGTTCATGTTGATATATCTGTACGTATGTAGTTTTACCCAGAATTATCACTCTAACTTTCATCTATTATTTGTTCTAATCTGATAAATATATTTCGTTAACTTTTTCATTAGAATCATTTATTCGATCGTTTGAACTTGTTCTATCAAGTTCACTCTTATTTCAGTCATATATACAAATCTTAATAGTCAAATAGTCTTGTTTTGCATATGCTTATAAAAATTGATTTTCTTCTGTGAAAATTTCTCTTCAAAAAGAAATCTTTCCGAGTGTTCCACTATGTCAAAAAGTATGATGTTTTCAATCTAGACTTTAATTGTAGCCAAGCAAGTGATTTTTAGAAGCGCAAAACTAATGTTCGTGTAACTCTTCTAAAATTTTCAATTAGAACATTTGAAAACTAGATGCATTTTAATATAATAATCTTTATTTCTACTTTCAAGTTTCCAAAAATTTAATGATTATGAAGAAATTGGTCTGTTTCGTTCGACGTATTCTTACTTCTAGAGAATTTTCTAATTTGACCAAATTGTTTTTTTTTTGTGAGAAGGGATTTAATGTTAACATATCATCGGATAGAAGAGCATGATGTGAAAAAATATTTGTTTATCATGAGAAATTGCGTTATTCAGATGGAAAAAAAGTTGACTGTTAGTAAGATTTAAAAGATTATATTCATCTATTGATGTTTGAAATAAAAACGACAGTATTCTAATGGCAATTGAAATCTATATGGGTTTAATAAAGCAAGAATTCTTCGAATGATTTTAGTTAATAAATAAATTCAAACTAATGATCTATATGTATAGATTTTAATGCTCATAAATCAGGTAATACTCTTGTTTTTATGATTGCAATCGATCAGTCATTCAAAATATCATTATACATTGTTTCAACATATTTGAAATACTCAATCTCCAGCATAGATTAGTTTATTTTTCTAGAGAAATAATATTCAAGGAGAAATATTAATAGCATCGAAGTTGATCTTAGAGTTATACATACGTATATATTGAGAATGATTTCTAATTGAGAGCTCGATTTTATTTGTAAATTTTCTTATTTAATTTTGTGTTTTAAAAGGTTCTGCGATATGAAGGAAATCTTCATGATGCATGTTCATTTGCAATGAAAGCAGCACTTAGTGAAACAAAGTATAAAATTCATATAAATAACATAGAGAAACTATTAATTTCTAATGGCAAGATATTTAATTTTATTATAGAGTTCCTGCTTTAAAAGTGGTTCATGATGAAGAGACGAATGAAGTTTCAGTCGACGTTTGTGATGATCCATATGAATATGGTGTTCTTGATGTATCGAAATTACCTTTACTGATTACTGTTGGACAAGTATGTGAAACAAAATTTAAAAAAACATACAAATTATTATTGATATAATTAATTTAGATAAATGGAGTTCATACTGTTGATACAACAATCAAAGAAGATTCAGTTACTTTAGCAAGGTATTATTATTTTCCATCTTCTACTTTCTTTTGTTGTAGTTGCCTTTTTTAAATTTAGAATAACTTACGGTATAATACCATCCGGTTCTATTGTTTATATGAATAAAGATGGTGGGGGTAGTCTCGATTTACTAAATATCCGTTCCATGACAAAAGTATGCTTTATTTAACAAAAATAATTATTTAATAACTGTTTGTGACATGTCATTTTTATTAAAGATTGCTAGTGAGATTGGACCACAACTGAATGAATTATTAATGAAAAAAGTTCAATTAAGTAAAGACAAACAAGCTTCATGGGGGCATGCTAATGAACGACTCCTTTTTGACGATGATAATTTCGTCTGAAATGTTTCATTTTATATTTACAAAATAAAGAAATTCAACAGATACTTGACGACTTACTCATTTTTTCCATTAGATTTTTAGTTTTATTCGTTAAAAGAAAAGAAAGATTAATGGTGCAAAATCATTTAGCTATGAAAATATTAAAGGTGCATCTAAAAATAATAGAATTGATTACAGACGAGAAATCACTTGGTTTTTGAATGCTCGATTTTATTCGTAGGAAATGTTTATTGAATACTTCAAGAAATTGATCGTTTCTAGAGCATGCTAAATAAAATTTAAAAAACTCATAGTATCATAATTTTAATTAGAATAGTTTAGATAAAAATACAGATAATTCGACATGGAACTTTAAAATTTATAAACAATCTATCTAAAGATAATCAATTCACAATTTTTGTGTAAGAGTTCATTGTAGCACTTGAGGATATTCATTTGAGAAAGTGTTTGTTTGTATTTTAAGCTTGTCAACGAACTTACAGGAATTAGAAAATATTGAACCAGATCCACAGTTCTATGCATTTTCTAAAATCGCTTCAAAATTTTTGTTGTACATATCGTTTCAGAATTGTGAATTGTTCTTTTCTCTAGACTCATAAATTGAATTTGAAACGTTGAAACGTTGAAACTAGATTTTCGTGACCTTGAAATCTCAACGGATAAGTTTGAGACTACGAGTTGTAATGAAATGTTATGACTATATTCAGAAATGAACTCAATATTTTCAAGTATCTTCAATCTTATTTGATAGATAGAAATAAATTTGTTCCCTGCGCAATCAATTCAATCCCAGGTACTTACTATCTGATATCTCTTCATCTAGCATATGCCAACTGATCGATCGAATATAAATTCGACAATTTTTTGATTTTGACTAAGAAGAGTAATATTTGAATCCATAGTTTTGACTTTGATTCGATTTAATTTTCATCATTATTCTTGCTTTTTAAGGATGGTTGATAATTTTGTATTCATTTTTATATTTTCTTCCTACTTTATTAATATTTACTTATTTAATTTAATGTGACGTTCCGTTGTAGTTTACAAGTTCATCAAACATGATTCTATGTACAATGTTAATTATAATTTAAGATCATACAGTTAAATATCTACATTGTGTAAGAGGTAAAACAGATGTACAAGGTGTGACAATTAGCGTAGCTCGTGTGCTTTTTTCTTTCTTTTTTTTGATCTTCTTTACATTTTGTTTAATAGTGATACGGCAATGAATCATCGATCCAGAACAACGCTACTACCGTCTTGTTCCGTATCACTATTAAACAAAATGTAAAGAAGATCAAAAGAAGAAAGAAAAAAGCAAATAAACTACTCTGATTGACATACCTTGTACATCTGTTTTATCTCTTGCACAATGTAGATATTTAACTGTATGATCTTAGATTATAATTAAAAATTGTACATAGAATCATGTCTGATGAACTTGTAAACTGCAACGAAACGTCACATTAAATTGAATAAATAAACGTTAATAAAGTAGGAAGCGAATATAAAAATGAATGCAAGATTTCATCATTATTGTTTTTCTATTAGTTTTATTATATAAATCTAATTCAGTATTTGATGAATGTCATTTTTTTCTTACTCGACGATGAAGACGACAGTATCAATAAATTGATGGAATGATTTGGAATCTTGTCTCTTTTCCATTGAATATTTTTCGATGATAAAATAATATTTATTGATTCAGTATTGTTTTCATTGTACTAATCTTTTTCAACTAAAATATACGAAACAAAAATAAAACTGAAAATCTGGTAGAAATACTTCATTGTATACTTTTGGGAATAATCGGCCAACGATGTATAGATTGATCAGTTAACTTTGCTGATGACTTGATGTTCTCGTTACAATCTGTTTGTGTACTTATTGTTTTATGTCCAATTATGTTTTTAGATAAGATTTTTACTATTGGTATCACAGATTTTTCATTGTTTTCTTTCATATAGGAGTTTTTCTTGCTGTCTGATACATCGTGTTCATTATTGTATTTTGAACCATACTGAAAATGATATTTCTTAAGCTTTTCATGATTAATTCAATGCAAAATACGAGAGTTTTTTGATGATAATAGTAATTTTTTAATTGAATTATATTTACCATGTAAGTTAAATAACTGTTCAAATGTTTTAGTTATATATCTATTGACATAATACATAAAAATTTAAACTAATTGTTTAGATAGAGAAATTATTGTTCAAAAAATAAATGACAAAAGTAATCAAGAATAGAAAGCGTAATTATAGAGATTTATGTAATTAAAACGTCGAATAATTTCAGATGTCACTTAAAATTGATCAAGTTCTTGATGAAATCGATGACACTATCGATAATGTACGTGGTATTTTATATTTCTATCATTATAATTGTGATGAGCAAGATGATCGTGGTTGGGGTTGTGGATATCGAACACTACAAACATTATGTTCATGGGTAATTAATAATAAACAAGAATATTCATCTTCTATAGTTCCTTCGATAACTAATATTCAAGAAATTCTTGTTAATCTTGAAGATAAACCAGTATCATTTATTCGATCTAATCAATGGATTGGTACATGTGAAGCAACAATGATACTCAGTCAACTTTATGATGTAAATTTTATTTTTAATATTATTTAAAATTCGAATTTATTTAGGTTGATTGTAAAATCATGCATATATCTAATGGTGGTGATCTTTTAAATTATATGAGTCTACTTTCTAAACACTTTCGTGACTTCGGTTCGCCTGTAATGATGGGTGGCGATGCTGATGCAGCTTCAAAATGTATTCTTGCTGTACGATCGAATAAACAACTTTTAATACTTGTAAATTTCTTCAATCGGTGAATATAAATAGTTACATAGATAATTCGTTTGTTTTATACATGCAGGATCCTCATTATTCTGGTCCAAGTTTTACAGCAATAAATAAGTTACGTGAATCAACTTCTTTAAGATGGTATAATGTACCGAATGATTTTATATCAAGTTCTTTTTATAATTTATGTTTGCCTCAATTTAAAAAACTATAGAAATATGTGTCTTCATAACAATATAGAATGTAAACAACAAAATAAAATAATTCTGCCTGTTATATTATATCAAATAACACGGTCGATTCTTAAATCTATATACTCATTTCATTATTTTATAGTTCAAACGAATACGATCGTTATCCGACGACGTCCATTACATTTCTTAGTTTCTAATAAAATAATCAAGACGAAGGATAAACTAATATATCTTCGATAACGATGTAAACGATCTATAGCTAGTCAACTTCTGCTGCATATTTTATTGAATGCATACTAACATCGAGGTAAACTAGAACCTCGTCCATATACGAAAGACAAATACAATAAGGTCATAGAAAGACGAAAGTATACACGCCGCTTAATCGATTCTTAAATTTATCTTCCTCGAGATATAAAATAAAAACAATCATTTCATCGTTTTTTTCTACTACATTCCTCCGAAGTGAAGGAAAAGCGTTCGAGTTCGTTTCATTTTCATGATTTATTTATCATTGTTTTATGTTGCTTTTCTGTTTCTTATGATAGTCTCCATAAACAATTAAAACTTTATATCTCGTATCATATTTTAAATAAGTCACAAATTGTTGTCACTAGAACTCATATAAAATATCATCATCATCATCAACAACAACATAAAAAAGATTCAAAATGATACTACACGAATATTAGAATATCTCTAGTAAGTCGTTTTCTTCTTTTATTAGAAAAGAAACTTTTAGTTGTCGTTTTCTTTTCTCATACAAAAAAAAAGAAAGCAACAAACAATTATTAGCATATGTTATATTCGACAATTATTAAACGTAAACAAGCACACGTATGTTTTCATCCCAATTTCGATAAAAACAGATATTATTTTCTATCTATTAATAATAAAATTATCTAAATATACTTTAAATAGACATGTCACTGTAAATTATTTACAAAAGGTCTACATATAATGATCTATTTAAAGAAAAAATATGTGTCAATCTTTTTCATGCATATTTAAATATAGGACACCTTGTTTCTGTTGAAATATTATGATAAACATGATTGATAAAAAAAACGATTTATTTATTAGTAATATATTGATAGGCAGTTATTTATTTTCATAAAAAAGATATATACTTTTATATAGATATATTCTTATTTGTCTATCTCTGTCTGTCTATATATATATATATATATATGTCAAGATCTGTTAAATACCATTATAAATTAGTCTAAGTTTTTCTTTTTCATAATAGTACTTTATGATCAAGTTATACGAGAAGGTCATTGTGCATTCCCAAATCATTCACTCAGCAGATGTTCATGTACGGTCTATGTTATGAAAACAACCATGTTTTTATCCCTAAAAGAATTTTGTATAAGTATATGTATGCGTTTATGTGCAAATCGCTTCATCATAATATATTCTATTATGATAAGAACGTAACGAGTATATAATAAAGATTATGCATCTTTCATTAAGTAGACATAACAACCTCCATTAAGTGAGATATGATTGGTCACAATTATCGACCATCTTTCTTACTGAATGAAGTAGTACAAAGCACGTTCTGACTAACCTTTGGAAGACAAAACAAATAATCCAATGGTTTATGCCTTCTATATTTACAGTCATCTATGAATTAAAGTTCAAATACGAAAATCAATAGTTGAATCTGAATTATATTTAATCAAACATTACTCAATAATTTATAAAATATTAAATAAATAACGGCGACGCCTTATACTGATTTAATCTAGGGATATAATAGCTCTAGGTCATCATAATTTTTCTATTTGTTTTGATGTTGTATTAGAGAGATTATTTTCTAAGTGATCTCTCAACAAACTTGTTTTAGAAAAGAATTTTCAGTTTCAATTTTACTGAATCCTTTCTTGTAAGACTGTAATTTACCAAAACTAATCATTCAAGTTAACTATTTGTATAAATACATTTCTTGATGAAATTTAAGTCGTAGAGAAAAAATTATTC